GAGGACAGTCCTCGCATGTCACCTTCCCACTTTCTGCTAGTACAACATAATGTGGCCTTCCCTTGTCGCTTTCAACCATAAACGTATGGGGCTTAAAAGGTATTTCCACAATGGAATCTTTCTTGAGGAGAAGAATGGATGCTTGCCGGTACATCTCTTTTAGGGAAAGAAGAGCTACACCAGCTGCACCTGACTCCTCTGGTCTTACAGACAGCTCTGGAGGGCTGGTAAGGGAAGTGTTCTCTTCCTTGTCATCGTTTACATTACCACTGTCATCCTGCACATCAACATTTCTTCCAGGTACTTCTTCCCAGAACTTTTTCAAATGCCTTTCACGCTGACGAGCATTCAGGGAAAACCACTTGTCAGGAGACATTTGTAAGTGAAGGTAGTCGTCTGTGAGAGCATATGGACCTCTGTTTATTACGGCTGATTCACAGTCCCGTCGCTGCTGCTGAATTACTTTCTCCATCTTGTCGTTAAATTGTGACATTTCATTCTTTTGAAAGTCTACTCCCATTTTAATAATTTTATTTGCTGATTCTGGCATGTTGTTATAATATGCTTCTGGAGGATTTCCTAGGCCTGCATTCAACCGAATGGGGCGCAACATGTTGTCTTGGATCATTTTTTCCTGAAATAAAATGAGACAATGTTGTCCTTTAATTTAATAGCATAAGGCGTAAATTCTCTACATTTTCCATAACTATAGATAAAACAAGGATTGTCGTACTTCAAAACGTTTTTTCTTTTTTTAAAGTACAAGTCAAGCTCGTGATTACGTTAAAAAGTTCCAAGTTCCGGAAAACGCAATAACAAAGGGATCTCTAGCTGGCTGGTTTAGAAATGAAAGGCCAGATGTCCGATTTCAATTGCAATTTGTGTCATTGGCCAACTGTTACTTACATAGCACCTCCAGTAAAATGAAGGTCTTGCATAAATATAAGAATATTGAATGAAACCGTTGCTATATGAACCGCGCATGTTATTACAAATGGCGATGACATAAATTCTCCATATTCCACACAGAAAACCGTGTGGCATGAAATTTGCGCGCAATCTAACTTTCGCGAATTTTGCGGGGTTTCCAGCGTTTCACGAAATGTGATATCGTAAAAATAAACTCCGGCCATAAAAGCTGAATTTAAATTTGAATTGAAAACATTACCAACATTACAATTACAACAAATAGGGAAGAGTCTCTGCGGTTTCTGAATAAATTTGATAAATCGAGTTGATATATTTGTTACCAGAAACCCAAATTACCAAAATTAAACTCCCGCAATTCAAACATTTCCTAAGTACATGAACTGCTGTCACCTTTTCCGAGATATATTTGTGAAATGAAGGTTGCTTTCCAGCAGGCAGATGGGCCTTTTCTCGCTCATCCCACACGTCCTTTAGTGACACCAACTGAGCTTGAAAGTCAGCTTCTGTCTCGCAATCCAAAAGACCTTTATCAGTGAGAAACGAAATAAAGTTTAGGATTTTCCTGCAACCTCGTTCCCATGGCCCTTTCTTTCCCTTTCTCATAGAGGGAGGGGGATCTGATATAGTGAAAGAGTACACGCAAACTTATACCCCCACCGTGGACCGTACAAGGGGAGGAGAAAGGGAAAGAGGGGGAGAGGGGGGTGGTTGCAACCCCTCCCTGGGTTTTTTGCAGTGTTACTATATTTGGGAAATATTTTATCTAAAAAGATAAGGAAATTATTAAGGGTTATGGCGCTGCTGGGGGTCCGTGACGTTATCTTGGATTTTACTAAAAATCGGAAATTGAAAATATCTTTGGCTAGAGTTGTAAAACTCACTGAAAAAAAAAGGTTAAAAATATGCATTTTTAAATATGGCTTGCTTATGCTTATGACGTCATATCTTGTTGCCATATAAACCGATTGTGTCTCACAGATAAACGAACAGCTAGTAATGACGGCACGGACTAACAACAAAATTGTCTTGAAATCATCCTCCCCCTTGTACGTTCGAGGGTTAACTTACCAGCTTCCATGCTACCATTTTCAAGCCTGCGTCCAAACACGTCATCCAGGAACTCCTTTTGAACTTCTCGTGGGAGGGCGCGCAGCTGTTCTTTACAGTTGTCCCTGAAATGCCCAAAGCATCTTAAGTGGATGCCGTGGTACATGTTGCGTTCCATTGCTTTGAAAAGAGGCTCTTCACCATCCGTACCGAAGGCCAGTACGTTTCAATATCTTTGTTTAAGCTAACCAGTTTGGAAAAAAGAAGTAGTTATAGGCGTCATACGTCTTTGTTTGGTGCATGAATAGGGGACCAATCATCACAGGATGCCTGCGCGTTTTACGATCAACCACTAACAAGTTGGTATATGTGGTTACAGTCACGTTAAACTTCCCAAGGTTGAACGTTGGGTCAGCGCCTAGGATCCCGAAGCTGCTAGGATTTGTACAAAACCTCACTATGTCAGCAAGCTGGTCGTCGTAACACATGACGCAGCGTAACTCTGGTGCGCAAGAAACTTCACGAACAAAGGCGGTTTTGGGGTTTGCTAACTGCTGTCTTTTTACACTGCTCCAGCAATATCACTAAGGAGTCAACGTGGTTTTTTTTTCTGACGAGCCTCGCCTTAAATAACTGGCTTGGTCTCTGTTCCTTGGCAGGTCAGATAGGCAATCTACGTTCATGATACCACCGACCATCTCCTCAACCTGATGATATGCTGCTTTAGGTTTCTGATCTTTTACTGCGGAACGTAGGTTCGCGATAACACTTGGCTTAGTACGCGTGTATGGATTTCCACCTTTCTTCACGTTTCCATGGCATGGTACATCAATTTTATGCTCCACCGCATCGAAGAGATACTGAATTAAGCACAGCTTGGGATATTCTACAGGATGAAATGGAAGTAAAAAATCAAGGAAAACTATGGCTAAAATAACAACGAGTAAATAAAGTACCACTGCCACCACTCTCTTTGTCTAAGTCGAAAGCAACCTGTATTTAACAATTAGATCATGAGCATATAAATTGAGAGCTAAATATACAGTTATTTATTAAAAAATTCTCACAAAATTATCAAAAAACCATTTCCAATTATTTGTCCCCATTTCTCCCCAAATAGCATTTAATCTTCACTTATTTCGAACACCTATACACTCGCTCGCGCGTCCTCCTATTCTAACGGCTGCACGAGTAGCTCAGCCAATCAAAACGCAGCATTTGCATTAAAACACTAGTAAAATGTACTATTTGCTGGTAGAAAAGTAGTTAACATTACCTTTCAAAGTCATGATGTTTTTCTTCAGGTCGGGAGCTGCCCTTTTTTGTAGTACACTCTTTTGAGAGTATATGTGCCTGTTGCTTCCCTTGCTTCTTCTTCGTCAACCAGTTCAGGGTACCCATCCTCATTTATTTCGTACACGCGATTCTTGGTTCCATTGTTTCGCCAAGAACCTAGATTATCACATTTCACATCTTCTTGGTGAGGCAAGCGATCTAAATCGACCATGAATACGCAGTTGTGGGCAACGTTCCTGGGAGTGGCAGTGGCAACTAAGCTTTCATCGCAAGGGCGTAGAAGGCGGAAGACGGCCTCTTCTGAAGCTAATGGCGAAGAACACCATTTAAATACCGGTGTTCGTCTGTCTCCATCGTAGAATTCTCCAGCATACCTTTAGAAAGAGGTAAACGACGCGACACTCAATTTTATTTGCTTGACCTTTACGAATGTGAACCATACGTTTTGCTTTTGTATTTCATGTGGACGAAACCCGGCGGAAAGAACTCTACATCTAACAGTATACAGCATTTTTTCAGTTAACTGTAACATTTTCACAGGTAATTGCCATGTATTAATACTATTACGTACTAACCTGCTGTAAGTATCCTCAGAGTCATTAGTTTCCATTAGTTGACCGTGGTTTCCTTGAAATTTGACCTATAGATCAGATTAGAGTCAGGTAATGTCAACGTTCGCCCGTACCCAAATTTACAGTCCTGGGTTGAGAGAGGCTATGAGAACAGAGCCTGGTGAAGTATATATGATTCATATGTAACGATCCCATTCAGTAAATTGTACATAGAAGCAATACGAGAATTCAGGGAAAAGCAACTCTCATTTAATAAGGAAAATAAATTCGTTGTTGCTCTAGTTATCAATATACCATCAAACGGATGTGAATTATGTAATTTTATACCTCAAGTGGTTCATCATCATCCGCATCGAAAAGATGTCTTCTGGTAGCAGAATCGACATTAACGCGTGTCCTAAATAATGAATAACAAGACGATGACAAAGCATTAACTTGGGCGTATAATTTGTCAAAATACGAGAAAATTTAAAAATAAAACAACAAGAATGTGAAGGCGCATACACGAGGTTTCAGGCTAAGAAGTGCCAAGCAAGACACATCATTTTTAACAGGGAAACAATTCGGACTGTGGAAGACCATGTGAAAACACACAGACCATTCCAACTATTAACAATTAATGGTGTCTAAGCGTTTCAATAATAGGGTAACACTTAACACATTTTGTTTATGGAAAAATTAGGATTGACCTGACGATTCACGTATTACCATGAAATCTTCTCCAAAGTTCATTGGGTACTGAGGATTGCATGGCAAAAGTACAAGTGAAAAAGAACATCTCAATACCATGTGCTTTGGGATAAGTGATTGTTTTTGCTAATGATTTCTTTCTATCTAAAATAATCTACATACCAGGGTACTTCTTCCTTTTTTTGGGGTGGACTGGTTTCTGGACTTGAAATAGTTATCGGACAGTCTACTGTGCCATGTCTACAGTAAATAAAAAAAAATGCAAACAACGAAAGCGTAATAAGTCAAGGCATGAAGTTCAAAATAAACGTGAAGATGTGATACCTTCGGTAATCTTCGGTTATCTTTAGTCATTTCCCTAATACGTCCGATGGCCGGCGATAGCTGTTTAATAATTAGGCCCTTCGCGTTTCTTCGTTGTCGTATAAATTCATATTACACCTTTTTCATCTTGTGTTACATAAAATGCTCAATCTTTTTTAATCAATTAGAATTAAATTTTTTTGTACGCGATTTTTTATTCAAGACATTTTCGTCAACGCACGCGTTTAAAAACAAATGTTCAAACTAAAGGAGAAAAGTTAAATTGTGCGGTAGAAATATAACAAGATCAGTCGGAACTTGAGCGCCAAAGTCGCATTGAACAAACATTAATTTTGTTTGTAATGCTGAAAAACCGCCTACCTTTGTCCATCCCTTTCACGATTTCCTTGCGTATCACATCTGAAAAAAATAAAACAAACCTTGTCGATCGCGTACGGGCTATATTTTATGTTTTTGAATATCACAAGAACGAACATTGGTGACATTATGGCACATTCATCCCGGGAGGGGGGGCATCTCGCATATCAAAATCACGGAGTGCTCATCGGAAATTTTCAAAAAACACCCTAAAAGGTAGCAGAATCTTGTTTGATGAGTGTGGCTTGATACCCTAAAAGGTACTGTGATAATTCTAACTGTGGTCATTTTAGATTTTAGCATCCTAAGCGGTACCGATGTACAAATGTTGACCGCCTAAAAGGTATGACGAGCAGCCAATCATTTTTAAAAGGGAGCCCCCCACTGGTATATTCGCATTCTATTTATACATGTGACTTTAACCGAAATCCTTCGTTGACTCAAGTTTAAAATAAATCAATTTCCACTTACCCAGCTATCGATGTTTTCTTAGCCTTAGCCTTACTGATCTCCTTATTTAGCGCCTTTCGCCACAACCTCCCTATAAATAAAGAAACGAAAGAGGGAGCGAATAAAGCAAGGCTGGAGAAACGCAAAGAAGAAACTTCGTTTGGCACACTTTGGGACAGTACGCAGCTCCAGGTCTAATGAAATTAGACTAAATTAAACTAATCTAGTAAAGTAGGTTTTGCAATAACCGGTATTTACCTGAGCTCTTCCCAGTTGTGGTTTTCTTGTGTCGTTTGAATATTGGTGACGAGGTCGTGTCAGGGGGGGCAAAAACACTGTAAATTGTGAAATAATGATTAATAAAATGAATAGCAGTTTGACTAACACTCAAAAACCTTTTTACTTGTGAAAGAAAACATGGTAGAAAATGCGGAGTGTAGTCCCGGGGGGGGGACTCCCTTATAAGGGCTTAATGGGACGTGCGGCCAGCCAGGGTATGTTTTTCGGGATTTTTGTCTTAAACAGGGTATCGATTTTATCATTTTTTGTCTTAAACAGGGTATCGATTTTTTCATTTTTTGTGTTAATCACGGTATCGATTTTATCAACTGTTAAGAGCTCCTCGTGACTCTGTCAATCAAGCTGTAAATAGTTTTGTGATTGCCAATGGATTAAATAAGAAAGAGTTTCGATATTTATTATTGTCTTACACAGGGTATAGTTTCGGGTTAAATGTCTTAAACAGGGTATCAAAAATCGGAATTCTGTCTTAAACAGGGTAGGAAAATCAGCGGGCCGCACCAAGGATATATCGAGTACCCCCCCCGGGAGTGTAGTCAAGTCAAACCAGTACGTGCGAGCAACTTGATACCATATCTCAGCAAGAAATGCTCTTTCATAGTTTGCCTGGTCACGTCCGCACTAATTGGTTGAAATACTATACCAGGTAAATTTAAGAACATCTTTAAGAACGTTTCAGCCTCAAATCGCCAAAAGAACGCTCAGCCTCGGCATCAAACTTAGACGTTCTTATAAAAAAAAGAGTGTATTCTTGTCTCGCAGAAATCTCAAGCAGGCGCGTTGCATTTTGAATTACATAGCTCCACCCCCTACTGGCATGATTGACGGAACAGAAAAACCCCAAATCCTTCGAACTTTGTATTTCGCGCATCGCGATACAACGAATTTGGCTGCAAACAAAAAATAAAATTTGGTGATTTTATTACTTCGAAAAGAGTAGTTTGCTTGTCCAGGTTTCGTACAGGGGGCAGGGGACAGGAGAAAGAAAGGGCCGCCAGGCAAGGCCTCCCACCTTTTATGAGTTAAAAATAGGCAGGACGTTATGTCCTGTCGTTTGACATATGCATGGTTCAGTACTTTTACAAGAAATAATTATTTTCTGAAGTGTACATATGGCGCTCTCGTCCGCTTGTTTCCACTATGAATCCGGCACTGTTTTTGCGCTGTAATCAGAAAAACGGCATACCATTTGTGACAGTTCCCGGCCGGACTGATCAATTTGTAAATATTATGACACTGCTGTTACAGTGCAGTTGCAGTGCAGTTTGCAGTTACCACACTTCGCATTTTCTACACTTCGCATTTTCCACACTCCACATTTTCTACCACACTTTGTACCACAAAACCAAATTTCCTACACTAAAAGTCCGCGTTTTAAAGGTTAAAAGGGTTAAAAGGTTACTTGCCTGCACAATAACTCTGACTCTGATTCCGATGACCCTGAAAGAGATATAAAGCATTGCGGCAAACACCAAACACCAAATAAAACAGACAACTGCGCAAAGATGAACTTACCACTTCCAGATACTACATCAGCGTAGCTTCTCTTGTTCATTTTGCAAAACCAAAACAACAAACCAAAATTCTGCAAACCAAAACAACAGATCTTCTCTTCGCACGAGTTGCTAGTGAAATCCGAGCCAGCCACGTGTCTGGCCACTCTGTTTGACTCCTCTCCGAAGATTTCCGACAGTGATTCCGACAGTGATTGGAGAATGTCTCGACTAATAATGATTTTCTCTTTTTTTTTTTTTTATTTCTTGCTTTTCTTATGTTTTCTTATTCATTTATCTCGTTTATTTATTTTATACGTCTATTTTATTTTATTTTATTTTTATTTTTTATTTTATTTCTATTATTTTATTTTTTTTTATTATTGTCCGCCGTCCGCCGTCTTATTCATTTATCTCGTTTATTTATTTTATACGTATATTTTGTTTTATTTTATTTTTATTTTTTTATTTTTTTATTATTGTCCGCCGTCCGCCGTCCGCCATCCGCCGTCCGCCATCCGCCATCCGCCGTCCTTATCCGCCGTCCGGATCCGCACTTTACAGAGTCCCTAACACATCAGACTCATAAAAAGATCTTGAGGCCTTCACGGTTGTGGTTAGATTTTTTTTACGGTTAATTTTTTTATTTTTTTTACGGCTAACGGCTAAAATTCTCTCATTTTTACGCCTAACGGCTAAATTTTTGGCCGTTTTACGTCTAACGGTTAACCCCATTGAGACCCTCTTGGCTGGCCTATTTTCGTCAACATCAACTTTGCTATAGTAAGAAAATATTATTGTCTCTGTAGTTTTCGTCGGTTTTTTATTGATGTGAATTGTGTCCGTTTAGTCAACCAAACAAATAAAAGATGAAAACACAGAATTACCGTACGGTCAAAGCTACTGGGACTTCCGGATCACTTTAAATGTAACAAACATTAGAATTGATTTATTTAAAATAAAAATTTCAGTTTCTCTTAATGGACATTAAATTCAAAACCTGCATAGAATGCGAGCATTTACGTCATTTGTGTCCTGTTTCTGTACGCTCTTTTTTTCCTCTTTTTTTTAAGAGTATCGAGGCTGAAATGTGTGAAATTTTAAGAATATTTTGAGAATAAACCTCAGACTGAGATTTTGAAAAGGATATAATTTTGTGCGTTCGAAAACTGTAAATGCAATACAATAGACCTTTTTCGGTATATTACAATCCATACTTGCTCCGAGGCTTGGGGGAATGAAACAAAAAAGGAAATGTATTATTCATTGCTGAGCCTCAAGATGATTTCTTTTGTTTTATTCCCCCAAGCCTCGCTGCCAAGTAAGAATTTTAATATATCAGAATTGGTCTATTGTTTTCAACTTATTCCATTCTCTAAACGGCAAAACTTGCCAACTTTAAGACAAAACCTGCACTAACTATAAGTGATACCCTAATATATTCTAACAAGGAAATGTCGTAAGCTCTAATTTAAGAATAATGCGAGAATATTTTCAGCCTAAAATCGGCAAAATAGGAATATTCAGCCAGGGCCGGGAAAGCAACATTCTTATATAAAAAAAAGAGAGTGTGAAGGAGAATAAACTCCGCACGTGAGACGAACTAGGGCAGCGGCGTGTTAGCATACTCAGCTCGCGCGTCCCATTAATCTGGGGGAAAAAGACGACTGCTCGCAGTTTGAGCCCTGAAAAAACAGTCTGTCGTAATAAAAATATTTCGAAAACTAGACTAGTAACTGCTCGTCACTATAGGTATGCAGTCTTGCCGGCTCATTATTGCCGGAGGCTTTTTCCAGCAATTCCTGGAGGCATTTGATAACTTTAACACGCAGCAGTATCTCCCTTTCATTGGAATTTCCTTCTTCCTGAACCAGTGTCAGTTCTTCTTTTTTCTTGGCAATTAACTGAGTAATAGCCTCAGTCGAATTATTTGGTGAAGTTAACGCAGTTTCTGGGTGGGTGGATTTGGTTTTTGCTGGTAACTTTTGGTTCACGTTAGCGTCGACTTTAGCTTGAAGCCTTTCCTCACATTCAAGGTCCTGTTTAACACCACTGTCGCGATCACCGTCAATCATAAGTGGTGCAGACTGGGTTTCTTTTTCTCGCTTACGATAAAGATAATTTGTTAGTAGTACATCTTCCATTGCATCGTGAGTATAGACGGAATTAATTAGCCTGTTGAGCCTGTTTAACTGGTTTTCTGTTATATATTGTACGTTCAATTTCCACTGGAGTTCTACGATGGACGGTTCCTGGATTATTGGCTCTTCTCGTTTTGGGGGTCCTCGAAATCCCATTAAAATTACAAGACGGTCAAGTATGGCATTGAAGAAGTTTCCTTCCTCCTGCTTAAGTTCTTCGTCCTCGCACACGTCTTTGTGTACAATGTTGATAATAGTTATAACGATATTTGTGAAGATGAAAATCATGCTCGTAGAAAAAGACGCAAAAAAGAAGTAGCCCACGATTTTGTAATCAGTTATCGAGGTAAAGTCTGTGTAATCGAACACCCCCATTACAACACAAGTTAAAGCACCAAGCGTGGACGGAACGGATTTGTACTCTTCCAAATACGGGGCATAAATGGTGAATGCCATTGACGCGTATGCCATATAAATAGCCAGCAACATAACAGCGAAGGATTGCAGCTCAACAAGCGATCTGAAAATTGTGGTCGATAACAACTGAACGCATCGGGTGAAGCTTAAAAAGTTGATAAATTTCAATATGGCGATGAAAGCGGCAAACGCGAATAGAAACACGAGTTCTTCACTACACAATGCACACTCCGAAAAGTTTAGGAACGATTCCTGATCTTTTTTAAGGACACCAATGGCGCTTTTTAGACGGGCTTCCCGTAATATGTAGACTACAACTATAGCAATGCCATTGCAAAAGAAAATCATATCCAACCAGCTGATAGCGTTGCGGAAATATTCTTTTCTTCGCTGGTAGATGCCTTTTATGATGGTATAGCAAGTGTAGAGAAGAATTCCAAAGAACAAGAATTCGCAAGCGGAATAAAATGCATATGAAGGATTAAGGTCAGCGTACAACCGGAATATCATGAAGTTTACTCGTGGTAACAAAATATTAGCGGAAGTAAACTCAATGACAGTCTCCATTACTCCTATTAAATTTACGTTTGGGTTATATACTGTTCCTTCAATGAAGATAGCTCTGGTGTATTTATCCATCCAGTGATGAGAGTTCAAATACCTTAGGAACGCCTTGGTTTCCTCAGCCGTACTACCAAATTCGGCTACATATCCCCCACTTGGGAAAAAGGAAATTTTACCGTTATAAGTTAGTGATGAATTCGATTCCGCTGCATCCATGTAAACCCACGGAGACAGCAATCCCTTTGGATTCCTTTTGTTTACCTTTGGGTTGTCCTCGTCCACTTCAAAACCACCTTTCCATGCGGGACTGTACTTTCGTTCTTCGTTCTGTGATACGTCATATGAGGGATTGCATTCTTGGATCAGATTTGCTTCTCTTATAATTTTGGGCACAGAACAGCTACCTGTGTTAGGATACAAAACGTCCCTTAAGTTCTCAACATCTCTAATAGTACGCTTTCAAAAGAGCTGAACTAAGAATAGAAAGTGAAAACCTGTCATGATTTTGCTGGAACTGGTTAACAACTCCTATCTTCCTAATTAATTTTTCTACTGGAGACGACAAATACTGAGACCTATTTGAAACTTGAAAAGACACATGTACACAACCGGACTTAAGTTCGGCGATGTTTAGCGTCTGTTACGGTTCTAATACGGGGAGGGAAGTCCGCATAAAAATACTCTGCCCGAGGGGTCGAGTAGAGCCGAGGCTGAAGGCGACCGACCGCGAATGCGGACCGACTCAGGTCGGGAAGTGACGTATTGACATGGTATTCAAGTAGGCCTCTCTGTAGGTAAGCACTTACCGTTTTTAACCCGAACCTGTCGAAGTCGTATCTTGCCAAGTCGCATGGACGCTCTGCCGGAAGAAAAGCCAGTCCTGTTTGTCACTTTTTCTCCGTTGTACCAATCCTCTTCGTAAAGGAAGGGAACTAATGAGTGCTGTGCCCATTGCAAAAATAGTGGTAGATTATTGACCTAAGAACAAAGACCATATTATTCATACGTCATAGATAGTAGTCTAGTTTGTTGGCTTTTGATTCGCATGCTTGATTTAATTCGTCAAAACTATGATTGATTGAGTGAGTGAGTGAGTGATTAGAGTACCTTAAATACAAAGTAGAGATTAAACGCCAGAAAAGTCCAATGAAAAGAAGGATTCATCGTTCAGTGTATGTTGTTAGACAAACGGCGAGCCATATTGCAGCTTGTTTGAATAAGTAGAAAAAAACATCAGCATTTTTCAATTGACACTGACTGTCGTCGGTTAGAAAGTTGCAACTAGTTAAACAACATGCAACTTGCTCAAAAAGTTGCAACACGAACGCAGAGGAGTCCACCTTTTCGTCGTTCAACGCATCTTCGACATTTCATCAGGGCGTATTAATCTGTTTGTCAACAGATATCGAACAGTGTGCCTTTTGGCTAGGGAGATAAGAAACTTAAGCGACTCCATACATTCCTCGCGTATCCGGCAGTATATGTTTCTTTTCGTTATTGTTGTCTGTTGTTTTTCTAGGCAAGTGTTAACACACAATGTACGAATAACTGTCTAAGGCTATGTTAACACTAGAGGAGACTTTTGTTTCGGATTCGTTACGAATCTGGAACATTTTGCAACAGGCTTTTTTTGCCGTTTACGCACAGATGCGTGAATCCGAAATAAAAACGTCCCGTTCTGGTCGCCTATGCGGAGATGCTGCATGCGGAATACTTCTGTGTCGCGATGAATCTTCTGATGTGAGAAAACGTCTTTGAATCCTAGCACCTTAAATACATTAAACCTGAAAACGTTTATGAATCCAGAAAAAACATCCTCCCGTGTAAACCTAGCCTAACTTACATCGTCAAGACCCTGGGGAAAGGAGGCGGTAAGAGGCTGCATAAACTCCTGCTCCAGAGAATTTCTCATCGTGAAGGATGCTGGATCTCTGTTACCATAGCTGACTAATACCAGGACAAGCAGGATAAAAACATAATCTCCAAGATTGATAAACTTCCTCTTAATTTCCTTTTGTCTAACTCGAGTTTCACGCAAAGCACTTAATGTGCCCTCGTCAGGTGGTCGATAGCGAAGAAGTTCTATTTCTCTGGCATCCTGATCCCCTATTCCATTTTCTTGAGATGAGTGAATCCACTCCTCGTCTGCACCTGCGTTTGAAAAAAAAATCCAATAAACAAGCACGAGTGTTCTATCAAGTTAAAAACACAACGCTTGAGACGCCATAAAACACGAACTGCAAGTTGATTGGATGACTTTTAAAATAAACTTCCATGTTCATTTAACCCAATTGCTACGAAAATTGAAGCTTGAAACTCCCCCGTTCTCCATCACGTTTAGAGACACTTAGCAGTTATTGGACGAGGCTGAGTATGATATGAAGAATTGTGAAAATCGAGGAGGAAGTCTTCCGAAATCCTCCTCTATCGCTAAATTCTTCATGGCGTACCGAGTCCTAATCCAATAATTGTTTTGTTACTTTTCAAACTATTTTGGAGATGCTAACCTAGATCGATGTAAAATTCCCGTCTTCATTTCACTGTTTTTCGGCAAATTCAGGATATAAAAGGATGTTTTTTTTTTGCTTTTTTCAGTTTTTCTTCAAAAAGCAGTTGCCGTCCATCGATTTGCTTTTAGGCATAGTTCGGCTCTTTCTTCATCGCAAAACGCGTGAAATATTCCGCCATTTTCTTTATTTCTACCAAAACAGCTGAGCTGCCGCTCCCGTCCTCAGGGGCTTCTCGGTTTCCCGTCCCTTTTTCTGCCCATATTCTACACATCTAGCGTCATTTGTACCAATATCGAAACGGCGTCCAGTTTTGATCAGCTGGTTGTGTAGATTTAGCCGTGGCCAATCAGAAACGGAGAAATATTTTGACTGAATAATAATAGTTATTATTCCCGCTTTGGCATGAATTTCTGAAGATTTTTCAGTAACCGAATCAGATATAAAGGTACTTGTATAACTACTTTTCTCAAACTAAGTGCCTCGAAGTTCGCTAGCACACATTTGTGGCCACTTTCGCAAAAAATTGCCTGTGAATATTTTGGTTTCAGATGATATGATGGACTGTGTACTGTGCCTATACTGGCAAAAAGTACAAGATGTCGTTTCTTTCGACGGATGGAAAATTGGAAAGGGATGTGCATTTTGTGTGGTTGAATTAGGTTACCCTCTTTTAGCACTTTCAGCATTTCATTGTTCAGAATCGTCTGGTGCCAGTTACTCAAAAGGTCGCTAAATCACTATCCAATGGATAACGCAACTGGTTTCCCTAATACGTATCCACTGCATAGCTGTTTATCCGGTAGATAGCACTATCTATCTTTTGAATACATGGGCCTGGAAAAGAAAAACACCTAGGTCGCCCTATGCTGGAAGAGCTATTCTTACCTTTTCTTGGATCTTCGTTACTCTGTTCAAGATCACTTTCCTCGTCACTTTTCTTTATGAAAATCGCGTAAGCAGTGGAAAGTAAGAGAACTTTAGCAGGCTGGTTTATAAGCGTGTCCTGACTAAAGGTCAGTACCATGGACACAAACCACTGATTGGACTTGTCTCTTCCCCACTGCATGCTATAAAACAACGTGAAAAGAGCTGATGTAATTGACGCGGAGATGCACAGAAACCAAGCTATGTACAAACACCAATGTGGTAGGAATCCTTGTCCTTTCTTATCTTTCTTCTTTTCTTTGTCGCTCACGTCGTTCTTTCCTTTTCCCCAAAACCAGCCTTTCGTCTTCTCGTTCTCCTCAGAAGTGACTTCTGAGGTCTCCTGTATCTTTTCACAGCTACGAAAGAATAATAACCAGTTCTCACCTCCAAGCTCATGTTTCGCTATTCTTTAATTAATACACTCCAATTACCTGATGTTTTGCAAGCGCTCCCTCCTTCTTTTCCCTTTCGTTTTTCCCCTCCCCTGCCCCTCCGCTTTTTTGCGCCTGCCACACACGGTATAATCTGAGAAAACAGTCGACATTTCGCGACGCCAGCACTAGTTTCCTAACGGAATGAAGTCTGAGAAACAAGCGCAGTATTTCCATACTGATGTCGCGTCCTTCTGATTAGACGTGCCGAGTAGGACATTTGCTTCACCCAATCAGAAGCACTATCCAGATCTGGGTAGTGACTTGTCATCAGTATAGAATTTCCGCGCTCGTTTCTCAGACGTCAGTTCGTGGGAAAACCACTGGTGGTGTCGTGAAATGTCGGCTGTTTTCTCAGGTTACGCAGGATATAATATGACCTCCCCATCACGACGATCATCGACCATCGACAGTTTTAGACTCCCAAGTCGTTAATAACCCTCACAATTGTATCCCATTAATACGACCAGTCGAATTCCTGGTGAGACTGGCTGAGTGATGAGCCAAGTAATCACAGTTCAGAAAGGCTAAGTTTCATATTGATGCTACCCAGTTCATACGACCTGATCTTCAGGGTCTAGGGATGGTCGTACTTACGGGTTCCACCCTATCACTCTTTTGTGCTTTTACAATATCAGTAGGTTTAGGTTACTACCAAATATGTGAACGATACTTACTCCTTTGAGTCGATGCTTGTCGGTTGCAAAACGTAATCTTGTTTTCTGCTTCTGAACAACAAAAATTTGCCACCAAAAATTCCTTTTGGTTGTTTTTCCATGATCAGTTCGTCATTTTTTGAGCCGCATGATTCATTTATCTCACACTTGACACAATCCAGAGGAACTTCTTTCTCTTTAAGGGAGTTCTTTTCATATCTAGGGTTAATATCAATTGTAGAAAATTCCTCTCTGTCTGTTGAAAGGGACTCCTCTGGCTTTTCTTCTTCACTGTCTTGTTTTGTCTCTTTTACCTTTTTAGGTTTGATGCTCTTAAACATGGTCACCACAACAGCGTTCACAGGAATAATAACGAGGCTGCACTGAATGCTGATCATGATTGAACGTAAGTTAATTTCGATTGGCCCCAGCAACAGGTTCGCCGACTCGTCCGAGGTTGTGTTTTGCCCATAAAACATGCAACTTGCTACCATGGCTGTGCACAGGAGACAGAGACAACAAGAGGCGCGTTGAGATCGATTGAAACTACTCCGCGATGGCTTTAGCAGCACTGAGAACCACAGGTGAGCATCTGTGAAGTCTTTGTACAATTTACTATTAAAGACTCTTGAAAACGTTGTAAGGTCTTTTTCAGACGCAGGGGTTAACTCCCGCATGATAGCACCGTCATCTTCTTCTAGTGCGAACCATCGCTCACAAATAAACACGGTGACGGCGTCTGTCTGTAGATTCCGCACTAAAACACGCTTCAGGAACCAAGCAGGTGCCAATCCGTGGTTATCATGCCAAACCCTGAGCGAAGCAAGTGAACCCAAAGAACCAGCAACGGAGATTAAAAAAGCATTAGCGCTGCCTTGTTTAAATGTCGGGCGTTTGTCATCTTTTAAGATGCAGATTCCGCTGTCGTCACGTTCACCAACCAATAGACACGACACTTGAGCTGTTGTACCAGCCCCTCTCCGCTGACCAGTGAAAAACGTAAGCTCATAGTGGTAAGTTGCATAAGGTACGTTTGAGGCTATAGGAGTGACCCCAATCTAAGGAGAGCACGGAAAAGTAAAGAAGACGATTCCACCTTTTCAGTACCGAGGAGGAGTAATGATAAATAACTAAGCCAAAGCAGTGCTGATCAAAATACGCTTTGCAATTAAGCTTTAAAACTTCATAAATCGAATTCATTTCAATACATTTAAAACAAAATTGGAAGGGGGTTATTACCGGATTTTTTCTATTTTTTATTATTACATAGATAAGGCTATAACTGGGGAAGGCGCTTTTTACCGGCTGTTTATATGGTCCTTCTAAAGCTGACTTCTTAGAGATCAGGGCTGACTGCATGTGTTTTCAATTGGGCAAGAGGGCGAGGGTGGTGGAATCAAAATTAATCCATTGGTTTTGCATGATTAAGGAATATTAAAGCCCAGAGACACTTAATTAGTGGCTTTGAGAAATCCTTACTCCGACATCAATAGTTTAAAAGTTTCTTGATTGGGGAACTTTGATATTTGGCGGATCGCGACTTGTGCCGAACGGGGTAGATTCTGCAAAAACGGGAGATAGAGCCCTCCTATAGATCCGTTGCTTAACTAAGCAATAAGTGAGCGGTGGGGAGAGTTAACCTGGTAGTAAAAATTGACCTCTTAAATGTCAAATTCTGCCAAGCGTCACCCACGGTTGCGTTAAATGTTTCAATAAGAAAATGCGTTACCTGTTGCAAGTCTTTTTTGTCAGCTCTTCTAGCCCAGACCAAGACCAAAACATAAATAAGAAATATGACAAGAACAAAAAAGAAGACTGTAACATTTCCAGTTTCAAACATTGAACTAAAACCATCCATTACGGCGCTGAAGTCGATCGGGTTTGGCGCCACATCCATCATTGAACCAAATGCAGTCAGATGTGTACAACGGCAGTGAGTTTGAGTAATGCTTGTCAAATTACCAACCTGCATTTAGATAAAGATATTAAGATTCTGTATTTTGAAGAAGGTTAAAAGCCGTGTTGAAGTCGTGTTAACGGTAGTGAGTAGGCCCGATTCACGTCTTGTACATGTTATCGTCGTAGTTTCGAACTAGATTCAGTTGTGGTAGGCCAAGAGAAAAGTATATGAGAGCATATTTCGGATACATGAGTTGGACGACGACTGATTCTACCCGTGGTAAACTCATTCAGAAACTACTCAGGAAAGACATAGCTTTTCAGTTCTAATTACTTGGTAGGACAATTCATTTAGACGTCGTGCGGAAGGCTAACTTCATGCCAATTATGGTGAAATGAATTCTGCAAGACATTTGAAACGGGCCTTAACATTTTAAAATGTCTTCTTCATCTGTTTCTTCTTTAAAATAAATAAAGCGTTTGACGGTGACGAACAGCCAAAGGTACTTCTGCGCTCTCACTAGACAAAATATACCAAACTAAACAGTGGGGATTTCAAGATGACAAGATTGTACAGGTTGTTTAGTAAGGTTATCCGACTTTCCCTAAATCGATATGTGAAGTGAGGAGTAACTTTCCAAAGTTGTTACCTTAATTAATATAAGGTTAACTTCTGACTCCGGTAACCACAATTTCTTGGCACCTCATACCACACATACCACCATTGAGAGACCCGTACACAGATCGCTAACACGTGCAAGGTCATTGCGTTATGTTTTTGAAAAAAATTATTTACTGGGAAATCTATTAAATCATGGCCCATGTTCAACTGATTTATTTCTTACCTGACAACCATCACTCTTCCACTTTTGAAGCTCCTCGTTCCAGTATAAGCATCTTGATTTAAACGTCCGCAGCGTGTAGGTGATGTTGTAATCTCCGTAGTAACAGCCAGGACCCTGGGGCGTTTCTGTAAACTTAATTCCTATGTAGTAAGTTCCAATATACAGGTCTTTTTGAGGAAGAAACAGTGATACTTCGCTACCTTGAATCTTCAAGTCGGTTCTTTCATGATGCCCCAAAATGTTCGAGCTGTTTAACGTTTTCGTCAAGTTAGCGTACTCTCCAGATGATTTTACTCTCTTTTGCGAAGTGTTCGTTCTTTCCTCTGTGGTGTTTGGGGAATCATCATGAAGAAACAGATTGCATGGTTCGTGCTGCGTTTTGTTGGGAGACGCCTTCCAAAAGTCAAACTTTGTAACGGTAGGAATTTTCGCTCGGCTGACGTACACTTCAAATTGTTGGTCAGAACCAACTAACCCAACCTCAACGTTCACCGCGGTGCCATTTTTATCAATCACCAGTTTATGAACACGCCATCCGTGGTGTAAAGAGCTGTTATAGACGAATGACTTTGGCGGTTCAACAGGAGTATCTCTTGGGATGAAAATGTCTATTGGATCATCTTCATTCAGATTAGAGACTTTCAGCTTTTTACCCTTGCTTTTGAACGAAAGACTCACAACTTTTCCCGAAATGTCTGAAGACTTTTTGCCCCACGTGTAGGGATTTTCATTCATGGCTGCCATCTGAGGGGGAAATGGAGACACAAGCTAACAACACACTCGAGGCGCAAGAGGGTTATTTCACTCGTACATTCATGCAGACCAGGATCTCCGTTTTAGACCGTTTCTATTACACAACTGTCCCTAGCCTGCGTGGCAGGCGTTAGAAGGGGAAGGAGAAGGAGGCATTTAGGCGCGCCCAAATTTCCCCTTCTCCTTCCCCTTTTAACGCCTGCCACGCAGGCTAAACTATCCCCCGAAGGGGAGGTGAACAGTGGTGCGATATTATATATCTGGCGCTATTCATCGACCCTGAGGGGTATAGTTGTTTTAGTATTTACGAAATCAGCTGGATAAAAATCAAAAGGTTTTTTTTGTAAATAAAAGGCGTCACTTGGCGAGTTTGTTTACACTTCAATTGACAGTGTTTCGGGGACCATTTTTTATGATTTTAGAGAAAATTCTGTAAGAAATTTTTTTACCGACCAGTAAACACCGACAAGCCAAATTTTGTCTCTTTCTTGGTATTTGTTGGTACAGCTGCTTCATTTACCGCTAAAATTCATCTTTGGAAACTGTCGCGAAACTAGAAGCCATTGTGAATCCCTTCCCAAAACAGTGAATATCCAAGGATATTCTGAGTTACGGGAGCCGTTCAGAACGCGCGAAAATTGCTATCCACTGATTGGTGAATACTAAAGACGGCTATCTCCACGGCACAACCTCAGTATGAACAATATTAACGAGATTTAGAGTCATGTTTACGGCAAACGTAAATTTGTACCACTTGACCAAGTTTTCCCTCTACTTGTCTTTTACTGTTTATTACTTAAACAAAACAATTACAGTAGCAGATTCACGTTAGTTTCATCCATAAATATTGTTTTGAACAGTTTTTATCTGTTCATTTTCTATTTTTAAGACATTCTCAACTTTAAACTAACGTTTGTGGTTTTCCGTGAGCGTGACTCCAAATCTCTCTAATAATACGATGATCACCGTCAAAACTCCCTTTATTTTCCTCTTTTGTTTTAACTGATCGCTTGTTTAAATGGACATATTGTGTTCCACTCGTTCTTCTCCCATGAGTTATATTCTGTCGCGCTCTGTATTAAAAATTCGAATTTTTATTCACACCATCTATTTTTGCACTTACCTCTTTGTCGACTGTGCCATCAACGTTACTCGAAAACAGTTTCCCAGCAGAAGGCATCTGGAACCCGGCTAGCCCGTCGCCTATGGCGGAGCCCCCCAAAGAATCTGGTTCAGAACGTTCCACTGCTATGTTCAGCTTTGCAGTGGAGATAACACTGGACTGTTCCCCCGGAAGTTTATTTTCCAGAACAGAACCGCCAACACTCCCGAGCATGTTCAAGATGTTGTTAGCTGCGTCTCGGCTCTGTAGGGTATTCATAAATAAATGATATATTTCAGGAAGCCATTACGTAGAAGCCTTCGTTGACTACAATTTAGTGACACGGTGTTTTACAATAACTAAGTTATTACTTGCGCGGTCTTTGGTCGAGAACTACGGTTTGTGAGAGCACAGACCATAGAAATGACATAACGATGGTGCTTTCTCTGTCTCTCACATCCGATTTTCCGGGAATGTTCACTGAAAATGGACTTCTAAAAAAACGAACTTTCCTAGTCTATACTATAGACCATAGCAATGAAGAAGATTTGAAAACTTTGTAGCGAAGCCATTGGAGACTTGTATTTCCTCCGCTTTGTAGTGATTCGAACATTTTGACGTTATGAGGCTGTATGAGTATAGACTATGAACAATTGTTGTTTATTTGTTAATTGACCACTCCATAAAATACCATAACATACCATAATGCTCTTTGTTTGTTACCCCAAAATTTTGCATAATCAGTGTTTTCAGTTTCTCTTGGGGCCATGGTATGTTCTGGAGTGGTCAATTGGACTTAAACCTTAATTTTTTTTTTAGATTCCTTTTCCGATAAAGATCGCAAACAGCGTTCGAGCCAGTATGGCAGCTGTTCGTCTACACAGTGCGTCCTTATCTTCATTTTCAATTTTCTTCAACCATATATACACTCTACGTTTTACACTTGCGCTCCTCGACGCTGAATTTATAATTAGCCGGGAAACTGAAGACCCTTGACTCATGTTACAGATGGACTCTCCAGAACGCTGTTGCTTTTCTTCAAAGACAACATTTAGTGGATTATTGAAATTTTCGTCTACGCGATGCGTGAAGTTTAAAGTATTTTTTTTCTGTTTAACTGCCCCGTTATTTCATCAGAACGGTCTTTGAATAGTCCTTTTTGGCTTTTATGTTTTGTTTTTCCAATTCAGATCACATGATGATCTCAAGGGAATTTACCTTTTCTCTTTCTTCTATAAAACATGTGCACGTGGTTAGGACGACATTTGAAAGAAACAGTTCTCTGAGGTACTATCACGTGGTCTACAATGGGAGGACAAAACACATAAACTAAAAAGGTTTATTAGAACGAATTCGCAGCAAACCTTTGAAGATTCCTCATCAAGTTCTACAGTTTCCTCTTCATCCGTAGAATTTCCAGTTGCCTCTTGCTTAGGTTCCGTGCAAGTAAAATCATAGGGTGCACAGGTAGGAGGTGCTGCCGTGGCGTTCCTTTTTGGGGGCTTCACCATCACAGAGCTCCCAGCGGCATTAAGAACGTATCCCATTCCTGACAACAGGGCCTCGGCACCGCTAACCACTGCATCAAAGCCCGCTAAATCGTCAGAACTGGCTTTTAATACCTTTGACATTCTTTCAAAGGCCGCCGTTGATGCGTTCTAACAAGAAAGTTTCTTGTATGAGTATCTCTTTCATTAGTTTTGATCATGCTAATAAAAATTAAGTAAAATATATGAAGCAGCTTTCTTAAGAATTTTGTTAAGGTTTTCTTGTGCGTTAGAAAGGAGGATTAGGGTGGAAAGTAATTTGCCCCACTAAATATCGTGGTAGGTTGTATTTGCTGCTCCAATTTAGCACTAATCAAACGATTAAGTAACGAGGCCTAAAGAAGAAGACTAAAGGCAAATCACTGTCTGCGAGCTAAAAGGCTGATATTCTCTTCTTTTACTTCACTCGCCCTATGCTTTCTGAATATGTCCATTAATAAGGCCTTTCCTTGTAACCATAAGATAAATAAGGCGTGATTTTTTCTGTGGATAAAGAAAATCAGTAAGATTTCGGGAAGCCAAAATTGCCCAGTAGTGCTGAAGCTAAGCTATCTTACCATGCTCGCAGTCGAAGTTTCATCTTTAAACTTCGACGCACTCGCGATCATATTGGCAGACTGTTGTAATCCATCCAGGCTGTTCACCGGAAGTGATGTCGCCGCTTTAACAATTGCTGTTCGCACCGCTTTTCTTTTTTCTTTCCTTGCACTAATATCCTTAGTATCATTAGATGGAGATTTTGTGCTCTGCGCATTAAGCAATGAGTTGACAGCACCAGCGAGTCTCAGGGCCGCTTGTGTGTCTCCCACGCTCACCAATTTTCCTAAGTCGCTGTTTTCGCCTGATGTCATGTCAGCCAGCTTATCACCAAGTTCATCCTCTTTCATGTCTGGCTCTACCGACTACATCATTAAGACAATAACATGAGCGCTTGAGAATTTCAAACTTATGAATCATTTAGGTACATATTCCTTCAAGTCTGATAAAACAAACATCTTACCTGCAAAGATAAAGAATAGTTGGCTTCGCCTTTGTAGAAATCCAACACTTTCACCTCAATTTCAATTGTATAATTATTAGCTGGGTCTCCAAGTGGCAGTTCTGCGCGTGTGAAGTTGTGAAGTCCGTAGTAAAACAGCACCAGCTTTCCTTCGTTTTTATAGAAAAATTTGTAGCTCAAGGGCATGTCTGCATCGGTCCAGCCATCGCACCAAATATGGAATTTAGTCATGAGTGCATTTCCCCTCAGGGGGATAGCAAAACAGGCCCCTGCTCGAGGTACCTCATTCGTCAGTAGCATACTTTCAGTCTTCCCTCTTACACCTTTCTCTCTCCGGCTGTAGAGACGAATACGGTACCCGGTACCTCCTTCAAGCACATCCTTGGGCACCGTGAATACGGGACCACTAGGATCCTTTACTTCGCTTTGCCTGATGTCTTGCACAAGCTCCCAGGATTCAGTGGAGTCACTACTGACGTTTTTGTAAATTTGCCATTCGTAGATCAGTCGCCCAATGCATCCCTCAAAACAGGTCGCGAAAAGTGCGAGTCTCTGTGACGGATTGATTTTATCTGCGCAATTTTGTTTACATCTGTTTGAAATAATTGGTTGATAAGGTTTGTAAAAAGGCTATTGCAACAACAATTCGGGCAGCAACGTTTTGTTAACATAAGATTTGCATAACTGCTGACTTGGTTAATTGAGCTAATCAAGGTAGTGCGATTGCAAAGACTGCCTGTCGCATCCCTTAAATAAAATAAACACTTGTAGTATCGCATGTACCTAATTCAATTATATTGCTTGACAATTGGGCATTGGACATTGGTGCATACGGAACTCACTGCAATGATTTGCTTGCCAGTGCCCAAAGCAACCTTAATCGTGAGTCAAGTATAACTGAGTATTTTCTCTTTTTTTAAGCCAAATATTTTGAAATGGGTTACCCCAAAACAACGCATTAATCGAAGGACACTATAATCACTTACTCAATTTTTGTCACTGGTGGATCACCTGTCACAACTTCTATGACTTGATACTGTTGAGCTGTCCTTCCTCCTTTTTGTACGATTAAAAATACTACGTAAGTCTCCTTCTCTATCATTTTGGCAGTGTCAAGACTTAGTGTACCGCTATTACCATTAAAGATAAACTGTCCGTCACCATAGCAGCCTGTGGAGTTTGCACTGCTAGCTGCTGCTAGTTTCCTTGTTGTGTCGTACGGGCATCGCAGGGTCATGTTTGGATAAACTGTTGTAGGGAATTGAGTGTGAATACTTCTGCATAACCAAGTGTAATGTAAACCTGAAAAAGAGAAGGTTGGCCCATTTCAAGGAGCGGCTCCACCGGAGTCAAACCTTGCTTGTCGCTTTATTTCATGTGGTTCATTAACAATGAAATAAGGAAATGACCTGGGAAGTAGAAAGAGGTTCGATTTTCTAATTAGCCAAGTGAAACTGTTTTACAAATGCATTCAGCAGCATTCTCAGCATTACAACACTTAAAACGTCTTTCTTCAAAGTTCCAGATACCAAACTAAGTGAAGATACTGTGCTTCCTTTCGAGTTTTCAGCGCTCAAAGGCTCAAAATCAAGTATAAGTGTTACTTTCCTCCATCGCCATAGTATCGTTGTCAAGTGGATTTTGGTATCTTTTTTATCCCTGCTCCCTAACGAGGCCAGGCCAGGAAACAAATTTGGCCTCCCTGAGCCGGCAGGGTGTAATTAGGTTTGTTGGTTCGATTTTATATCGGTACCACAATTTTTACCAAAAACAAAGAAAAAGGAGAAGGAGACGGCGACTGAATACTCACCAGAATCTTGTCCGGTTTCCAAATCCGGGTCGTTCGACTGAGTCCCTTCTATCTTGATTTCCTTACCAAATCCCCTGGTGATCAAATTACCGCCGTCAATTTTTGCTACTAGTGGCGAAGGAACAATCTTTAGGAAGCCAATATCTGTACTGCGGTACTTGTCAGTATCAGGCAGCGCCATCCGTGCAGTAAAGTGCACTTCATATAAACCATACCTTAGTCCTTTTCTAGGTATGTTGAGTTCTCTTTCAGTTCTAATTATGTTGGCCCCATGGATGCTTCGAACCCCGTTTTGGTCGTGTGAGATTAATTGCCAATTAAATTCCACCTTGCTTGTTCTCTCGCAGTCAAGCTGTACCGTAGTGTGCACAGTGAAGGGGTCATAGCGGAATGACCTTGCAGCCGTGTTAGAGCTAGCACCGAGATGTTCTATCCATATTTTTGGGCTTGCACAAGGAGCATACACAACCTCCACATCTGTCTGAAGCTTTACAAAAGACACTGCATTTGAGGCGTTTAACGTTACCACGTACTCTCCTACTTCATCATACACATGCTTAAACTGGACGCTCTCAACCGCTGGTATGACCATAAGGTCTGATGTTGCGCTTGTTACTTTGCACCCTGGATGACCATATAAGGAATGAGTTCCGTCTCCAAAATCAACAGAAAAGCAGGACTCTGTGCCTAGCTGCTTGGCACTAAGGTGAAATTCGACTGGCTGCTTGAGTTTTTTAGGACTGTTGCTTTGTAATGTGGCATTCTCAATGGCGTAGTGAATAATCACTGTGATGTTAGCGTGTTCCTCACTCACCATATTTTTGATCAGCACCGACAAATTGTGTGCCCCAACCTGGTAGAATTTGAGCGAAACAAGACATTTAGAACCGAGTTGCTGGTCAACATCGTCAGTTTTCCATTCGCATGATAAGTTAGTTCCTTTGGCTAGAACTTCGAACATGATGGAACGACAAGCAGGAAAGTAGTCCCCAGGGAGACCGAAGCCAGCATAAGACCCACCGGGTTGTGGTAAACTGGCGATAACTTTGTCAAATTGGACGGGAATTTGAATGGCTGCAGTTTTCTGGGCTGCAGTCCACGACACCAGATTCTGAGCAACCACTACAACTTTGAAAATACCAGCCGTTTTATAGTGATCAGGTGATACAGTAACCGCTCTATTGTCCCCAAATAATGCAAAAGTCAAGTTTGCAAAGGTAATTTGGAATTCAGCATCGGTACCATTCGCAATTTCCCACGATATCACAAACGTTTCGTTAAACCGTATCGCAGGAATGTCAAAGATCTTTAAATTTCTGATTGGGTCTTGCACAATAATTTCTTCTGTGGTGTTCGTGTAACTCAGTCTGTTTCTGCACTCGATAAAAAGTCGATATTTTGATGCTTTGTCGTATGCATACCTTACTGGATAACGTTGGTTTCGAAAGTTTTCTGTGGGCGTCCTATCTTCTCCTAAAAATACCTTCTTCGCAAGTTTTAAGTTTCGTGGTATCTTTTCGTCTCCAAAGTCGCAGATGCAATGAAAGTCTGACCCTTGGTCGATCATAAGAATAATCGGCGCTTGTTCAGAGACATTAGATGGGTACGCAGACAGCTTTACCTTCTGAAGTGGGAGGACTGGTTTATGTACTGTGACATTTACTGAAACTTTAACAGTAGAGACGTTGTTACTAGCCGTCGCAAGAACTTCATAACTCACGTTAGGCCTTGACTCGTAAACATCATTGTAACCGTATTTGTGCGTTACTTTTCCAACGTAATTTTTAACCTTATTGCCATCGTCAAAGTCAAACAGATAGACAAGATTTGTGCCTGTTTTGACTTGGGTAGTGAAGGTGACATTTTGGTCCATTTCTAGGTCCCGTGACTCAAAGGAGACGTCAACAGTCAGGCTTCCAACTGGAACTTCCGCCAGGATCACAGCTGACCTGGTTTGAATTGGACTTACCAGGTTGCGAGCTCCTACCCGAATGACATATTTCCCAGGATTGGCGAGGACCACCCGAACAAAACCCCATAGCTCAGACATGTGGAGAAAATTGATGCTTGCTCCAGAAATATTGACTTCAAATGTTGCGTTTGTTCCTGATAATAAGGTCCAATAGACTGGAAATTCTCGGCCGACGATCTGTACTGGAACCTTTGTGATGTTCAGCCCTTTAACAAGGGCTTGAATAACGATTGGCACAGAAGCGTATTCTGAGCTCAGGCGGTTTTGGCATTTAACGGATATGTGGAAAATTCCTGTAGATGTGTAAGTGTGTTGGACAATAAATGTCAGATTTTGAAAAGGTCGTTTGTCTGTCGTCTTGCCGTCAGAATAGTAGCCAAGTCGCTGATAGCTGGAATTCAGGCTGGACCCATCCCCGAACTGCCAGACGCAAAAGAAATCAGAACCTTCCGACAAGTAAAGGAGGATATCACTTGTGTTGCTTAAAGAAGTGGGTGACGAACTGATGGAAACCTTCTGAAGTGGAATGACCGGTTTAACAACGTGGATGTTCAGCAGGGTGACTTCCTGACTGACATTGTTTCTCGCCGTGATATTCACTACATACAGAGAATGAGGATTGAACTTATGCCCAACAGTATGTTTCCTGGTGACAGTTGCTTCGCTCCCATCCATAAAATCAACCAGAAATTCTGGATTACTTCCGTTTTTCAATTTGATACCAATGTTCACACTTTCATTTACCTCAATACCATGTGGCCCTCCAATAACATATGCCTCAAGACCGTGGATGGGAATCTCCACGATCGCATAACCATGGAGAACAATCGGCTGGGTGACACGGTTCCAAACGGTTAATGTAAATTGATGAAAACCCACCGACCGATAAATATCTTGATAGATGATGTGAAAAGCCCTTTGTCCGACGTTTTTGTGGGTAAAGCTGTAACCCTTAAATGATACTTTAAAGGAGGTGTTAGTTCCCAGTGTTATTTCCAATGTAATGTTAATTGGGTTTCCGAGTATGGTCGGTTCATTTGGGATCCAGCGTGCGCCAGTCACTGGCTCCTGTACTATGGCGTCGATGTTTGATGTCTTTTCGCTGAGACGGTTCTGACAGGTGACTGTCACAGAATAAACGCCAGTTGCAGAAAAATTGCGCTTGATAGTGAATGTCACCTCAGGTGGGTTGTTCGAAACATTGTTTTGTCCGCTCACTGGATCCCAGAAGGATTCTCCACGAAGGTCATATATTTGGCTATAGTTAGGAATGTCGCTGAATAAAGCATTGCAAATAACATCGGAAGCCCTTCTTATGTGGGCAGTTATTATCGTGGGCTGCAAGAATACTGTAGGTTCTGTGGACAGGGTGAGATATTCTACTAACAAAACGGGTTTATGAATTTTGATCGAGATAGAGGTGTTGTAGACCGAAACGTTGTTGAACGCATTTATGGTAATCATAAAATCTCCATAGGTTGAATAACTCAAGTTTGTTTTCAAATTTCCTGTTGTAATCGGGCTTCTACCATCCCCCAAGTCGACACTGTATATGGGATTTGCACCGTTCTCCACGTTGGTGTGTGTCATAAAAAGAACGAAAGACTCGTTAACTTCAATGTATCTGTTCGAATGATACAAAACTGGGGAGAATGGTTCCACTTGTTTCTCTATGCGAACTGCGCCTCTACTACGCAGAGTTACAGTCACTTTATTGGATGCTGAAACTATGATGCTTTGTTCACCTAGACCCACGTGATTGTCTGATTGCACCCATGCCCAACCGTAAGTTTCGTTTATTGTTTTAAAGGTCTTGAGCTGCTGTCCAGCAAAGCTCGCAGTGTATTGAATATCACTCCCACTTTGGACAAGCCATGTGATTTTAAACTGCTCCAGATAACCTTTAGGAGTTATTCTTTCGATAGCAAGCCCGAAAATGGGTGCTTGTACGATTACCATTGTTGAAGTATTGGCTTGACTTAGTCTGTTCACACAACTAACATGTAAGTAGTAATCCCCTGTGCCGTTGAACGAATACGTTAAGTTGTGTTTTGTTCCATGATTGACAAAGTCTGTCTCTGCTTGATGGCCATCGCCGAGATTCCAGTAACATTTAAAATCTGTGCCCTGATCTGATATCAGAACGGCCGAAAGTGGAGATGGAAATGGTACAGGCTCAGTCACAAGGGTCAGATTTCCTAAAAGCACTATGGGTTTTTCTATAGATACAGACGTACTGATGTGTAATGATTCGTTCCTGCAACGGCTGTATATTGTAGCTCCCACAGAGAAAACTCCGTGTTTTGAGTACTTATGATGTATGGTGTCCTGGTCTGTGATAACGATAGGACTTCCATCCCCGAGATCATACTTGTACTCGCTAAAGCTGACGTTCTTGTCGTTGATAACCACTATCGTGATGGTTTCATTTACTTCGACGTACTTGCTTTTATGCCGCACCACTATCTTTAATTCGCTCACAGGTTCAACTGATAGATAATAACAATGAAAACGTCCTTTAAAAATAAACAAGCTTTGGTATACTGAACAGGCCTTGTTTGAGCCTTGCGTGGCAGACAACATGCCTTATTACAAAATAGTGGTCTCGTAAAGTGACTCTCTTGAAACAAAAAAAACTTTTATATTATCATCAAACTGCGATGAATGACATCTTTCAGAAATAAGCTAAAGCATTGCTGTACTTACAATCCAAATCAATGCCAGGGGGAAGGTGATGAGGTGCTGAGGGTTGTGAAAAGCACTTTTGGTAGCTTGTCCCGCTGTTCAGGGATGCACACATTTGAATTGAGATTGGCAAACTCATTAAAATTGTGCATCCGTAATAGTGGCCCAATAGTGGAATCAATGTAGAATAGTGCTGTACTGACCAATCAATGCAAGGGCGCAGGTGATGAGGTGCTGAGGGTTGTGAAAAACACTTTTGGTAGCTTGTCCCGCTGTTCAGGGATGCACACATTTAGATTGAGATTGGCAAATTCATTTTATTTGTGCATAAGCAATAGTGGGTCCAATGGTGGAATCAGTGTAAAGTAGTGTGGTATTTACAAATCAATGCTAGGGTGAAGGTTATGAGGTGCTGGGGTTGTGAGAAGCACTTTGGTAGGTTTTTCGGCTGTTAAGCGATGCACACATTTGAATTGAGATTGGCAAACGTATTAAATTTGTGCATTGACAATAGTGGGCCCAGCTCATATGGTTTCTTTCAATTCGTTCGGTTCTGCAGTAAGTAGTTTGTCTTTATGACAAGCATTTTTTTATACTTACAGGGCTTGCATGCTATCCGTGCCTTTTCGATTTGCAGCACAGTTAGAGCTGTAGAGTAGAACTGTAAACATGCCAATCTGCCGCTAAAGCATTCCCCTGTGCTACCTTGTCGAGTCCCAATGCGAACATCAAACTGCGTAGCGATGTCAGCCAGCCTATCATAACGACGAGAAGCAACTGCCTGTCCTTCGTGCCACAAGTTAACAACCCCTGAGGAACCATTATAAGTCACTCCAATGAATTGCCACTCGTTAAAACGAAGGATTCTAGCCTTGCGGACTTCAGGTTGATACCCCACGGAATCGCGAGGGTTGATTCGTGCGCCTAGAGACCCTTTACCACCGCGGCTAGTCTCATAGATCTGAACTCCGTGACCATCTCTCTTGTAGTTTACAATAGGACCAGAGCTCCCTAACGGGTACACGTACAGCAAGATGGTGATGGAGACCTTCGTGTCCAGGTGTCCGGTGTTGGTTAACTCGATGTAGGAATCCGCGTGGCCCTGGACCTCAATGGAGCCACCTAGCTCACCATGGATGCCTCGGGAGAATAGTGTGCCTTCTGAGATACCTTCTCCCTTGTATGGCGAGACATCGTTTACGCCAGTTTTGTTGTTGAATGGATAAACTGCCACTGGTAGCTCAGGGAACTCGCAGAAATGATAATAAGCTGTCAAGAAATAGTCTGAAAGCTACAAACTACCAATTATAGTAGATCCAGTTAATATTTGAAGATGTAGTCGAGACTAGCGTTGATCTTGTTCCGATACAAATCGTATGGTTTTGTATCAAAAATCGTGTTGTTCTTCAGCATTATTTTCATTGTAAAGAAAACAAGGCTCGTTTTAAACATGTTAAAACCAGGATGTTGGTTTCATCAGCCAAGTTGATAGGGTAGATTGGCCACCGTAGGGAGACACAGAAGCTGACGAGTCGAAATCTAGCCGTTGGTGATTCGTTCTAACGAAAGGCTAGCGCTCGACTGAGCTTCTCGATCTTCCTAGGTGGCCAATCTACCGACAGTTGACTCCTGATAACTCGAACCTTCTAGCGAAATAGAAAAAAGTGCGAGTTGTTATCGGGAGGTTCGAGTTACCGAGGGTAAATTGCATTAAGTCTATGGAGGAAATCTAGGAGAAATCGACTTTGGTTTGAGTTAACGCGAGGTTTGAGTTTGCGAGGGGTCGAGTTATCGAGAGTCAAATGTAATCAACTCATTTGACTAAACTCTCAACTAAATCTTTGCATTTCATTCCCCCACCGTCGCAACACTTCAGTTTCTTTAGAAAGAAACCCCTTCATTCATGATTGGAACGTACCTCGTATGCATTCAAAGGCAAGAGTATTGAGTATACAACTGTAAAATAGTGTTTTCAATTATCCTCACTTGAATTATTGACACATTCTCTGGTGGTAAATTTTTTTTCTCTGAATTCTACTTTATAACCCATTTTTGTTCTTTCCCTACCGGTTCAATCGACCCAGAAATGTGATAAATATCTTTGTAGCCACGCTTCCTAGAGGTACGTTTCTTTAGGGAATCAAAGAAGAGGTTCGCATTCTTAGATTTTTCGTATTCATTTGGACTAGGTTTGGGCTAAGAAAATCCGATGAAAATCCAGAAATGAATTCTTGTTTAGTGTGATTCTCGTTTATATTTTTTATTCGAGAGAAAACTAGGAAAACTAGGAAAGTTTTAGCTGAGCAGTGATAGCAGGCCTCAGTCAATAAAAAAGGAAAAGTGAACGAAGGAGAGGCGATTGAGAGAGAGGTATATGAAAAATTCATAGGGGCACCCAACGACAATTTTCGAAAAATATCTGTTCGGAAGACGATTTGAGATCTAGAATTTTCGGAACATTTGTTGTAAAATTTCTTGCTTGCCTGTCTCTCCTAGGATTTTCGAACATCTTAAAATGGTATAATTGCGTATTTTTAACGGATTTTTACCCCTAAAAAGGTCACCTAGAATTTTCGGGAGCCTTTTTCAGGTTGAAATTTTCGAAAAGGTAAGTTTTGATCCCTATAATCGGATCACTAGACTTTCAGCTAGGAAATCCGAACAGATGAAAAAATTTTTAGGGATTAAAAAATATGCCTTTATCTACCGTTTAAATACTAAAATACTAAAATACGTTTAACAATGCTATGTTTAAGTGCTTTTGAACTATATTCTCGTTGGGTGCCCCTGAATTCATCTACGAAACTACCCTGACTAAGCAATGATAGAGCCTTATCAGTGGCGGATCCAGGGAGGGGCCCCCTTTATTTTAGACCAAATGAGGCTCTAAGACACCCCTCCCCGCCCCTTATCGGAAGGTCTGTATCCGCGACTGCTTATAGATATAGCTTAGTACCTATTTTGTAATTAAAGTTGCGTGCGAGAGGGCGTTTCAGAAGTGTTATTTGAGTGACTTACTTAAACACCGAAGGAATTTTCGTTAATTCTAACGGATCATTGCGAGGCAAAAAAAACCGTAAACAGAAACGAGATTGGTTGACTAATCATCGTCAAGCGATTAAATTTGAGCCGAAAGGGCCTAGAATTGAGCTGCAGATTTTGAAATGAACTGAAGCAGCCGACTTTATCGATCGACAGATTTTTTTGTTTGATTATGCTATTTCATATCATGTGTCAGCGACTTCCATTAGCAACGGTCTGTCTTGTCTAAATAAAAAGGGTACTCCGTGCCAATATTCAACTTTATTTAGTCTTGGACACTGCATTTGATACTCGAAAGAAACTTACGATTTAGTATAATACATCATGCTTTCTGAGGTTTACAGATTGGGAGCACGAATTTAAAGTCTTAAACAGCTACTCATGTAATTTCAAGCTGAGTTTTTTTCAACGTCTTTTAAGCGCATTTAGCTATTAGCCCCTGGAAGTCGCTCGTTCAGGTGTAATTATATTGTAACAGATCAAGCTTGCCCATATGCATACTGTTAATGTACGTGTGTTTAGCGTTTCGGTCAGAAAAAATCAAACGTCATTAGACAATACTAAAGCTTGTGAGGTAAGTCTTAAATCTCTTTAAAGCTGAATGGTTACACCTCTATCGCACCTGAGTCATTTAATTAATGTTTCACGGTGACTTGACAACGGGTGGTTTTGCCAGGATGTATCAGTAGACAAAAATAATTATACATACCTGCTCTAAATTATATGTTTACACATGTCTAGAAATTTATATCTCGCGGGAAGTTGATATTTCATTAGAACACGTATACGTCCTACAGTTTCATCCATTTATTTATTCTGTTCATGACTATGGCATGACATTGCCTTCTTCTCTAAAAGTTTAACTTTTTTTGGTGAGGCAATAGCTTCAAGAACAACGTCCCTTCTTATAACTCAATCAAAGAAGTCCCGTTGTAGAACCAAATTTTAAAGAAAAGGATTTTGCTTACTGAGGAAAATCGTTAAACCATAATTTTCTTAAACCTACAACGTAGATGCTTACTATAAAAATTCGGTTTCTGAGAAGCTGCCCACCCCCTCCCCTTAGTTAACATTAACACCTGCTTCTCACTTAGGCAAAATGATGGCTTAGGGGAGGGGTTGGTGGGCAGTGTCCCTAAAAAGCTAAATTGATGCAATTTAAATGTAGGAACGTTTGCGCCGTCTTCAGAATTATATGATTATACTTTTTGACGTTTAAACAAATGCCGAAATTTCAGAAACGAAAGTCGTACTTAAATTACTTACGCCTGTTATACAGTCCACAGACATGGATTGACAAAATTAAAACCACCCCAAATTTTTTTTTTCTGTAGGTAGGTAGAGTTGCTATGTCGATCAACATACGATGCAGCATTGTTCAGTATTTTTACCTTTCAACGATAGAAGTTCTGTGTAAAATCAGTATGGCCTGCGCAGAGATGTGTTTTTTATCTACAACCTCAGATAAAGCCTCAGATCATGGCGTGGAAAAAAAACTGCTTTTCAGAAATAAAAACTATCAGGGTTCCTCTATTCTTGGATGAAAATGTCAAGTACCTAAGTGATGCTATATTGTCACTATTACGAGAAGTTTTACTCGTACCAGATCCGAGTTTTCCATAAGACAAGAAAAGTAATTTTACCTTGAGATGAATTTATAACCAAATTTCCTCTGATCCGTACCCACTTACAACCTTTAAGAAGAAAAAAATTAATGATCACTCAAACCAGTAAGAAAGGAAAGAAATGTGCCTCAAACGCTCATCAAATGCGTGATTTTATGAGTCAAAACGGGGAAGAGTGGAATACAAACGGGCCCTGAAAGTAACATGACAATTTCCTATTGGAACAAATATGCAAAGTGAATCAGAATTGAATATTTTGAGTGGCTGTAATTGTAGTACCATCGTTGTAAAGAAAACTGAAGTGAACACAATGAGAGATATATGTACGTGAACAAATCTCATCAAAGAAAACAGAATGTCACTGTAACTATAACTTTCTATACGGCCAGAATCATTTAATTAGTGTCTACTGAGTAGCATCTAATTTTTGTTACAACCGAATATGCTAAATGTTTAGTCGAGCGATGATCTTTACTTGTAAAAATGCCTCGGATTTGAACTAAGTGTTAGGGTAATTTAAATACTTACCACGCCAAAATATGACCAGAAAATACAGAGTTTTAAAATTAAAACCAACATCGTTATTATAGACCCACAAAGATTGATTGTGTTTTTGTTTTAGGCATAAACTATCATGTTTAGTTTGTGAATATAAATGCAACATGGCAAAAGGTGTCCAACAATGCCTGTAAATCTAACGTTACCAACTTGGTCAATTCAATTTATATCATGCTGTTTGTTACGTAACTCCAGTTCTAATAAGACGAAGCGAATTAATAATTTGCCGCAGAGTCTTCCAAAATCTTAATTTCCTAATCTTTTAATAGTTTGTCCTACCTGCATTAAAAAACCCCATGAAAAACAATTTCTTACTCATCTTTGTTAGGCATCGTAGCATTTTTTTCGAACCACCGTAGCATTGCAATGAATTGGAGAGCTTTTAATAGCTTCTTGCTAAGGACTTGATATTTTCCTTCTAACAACTATCAACTTTTCCAACGACGTTTTCATCATCTTGTTTAAAGTTACTTATATTAATCCAGTTTGGCAAGACACCAAATGTGGCAGCAGTATTTATTAACCTGTTTGTGAGATTAGCTAACTGAATTAAGGATGACATTTCACAACTGAAAGTTTATCAATTATTGATTACAGGCATTCGCGTAATAATTTAGTTGACTCATCGCACGTGTAGTAGCACAACTTCCTAGAAGCTTTTAACAAACACTGAATAGGAACGTGCGCTCTTTTGTGTGTCAAATGAACTCACAAAACCACCAATTCATAGTACCCATATACAATTAAATACTAAGGGTCGGTTATTTAAACGAAGTCTAATTTAGACGGTTGTTTAAGAAATCTTTGGATCTCCAGATCTCGCCCATGGTGGGTTATTTCAAAAAGACAAATGCTTTTCCAGTATACGCTATATGCTTTCATGAAACTGTTCGCGATCATTGGTGTTTACATAAAAGCGTTGGCATAGAACTGAAAATGGCTTAGAATTCGGTTCTGTTAAAAACGGCTCAACTCCTTTTAAATATTAACTGGCTCTAAGATTCTTACGTTTCACTCTATATGTAAATCAGTTTACGAATAACAAACAAAGTTCGAT